CAAAGGTTCCTTCAAAGCTGTACAAGTATGAGTTCCCACACCTTGGCGAGCACGGCAGCGTAGCGTTTCAAGTGTGGAGTCGTTGCAGCCTGCTCCTGCTGCAAAAGCGCAAGATCTCATGACACGAGTTGACTTGCGCATGGAAGAGGTCCTGGATGATCGCCAGCATTTTCTGAAGAGGTGGATTCAGCCCGTTCTGGGCCAAGTCCTTGAGCCTTGATCGAACAGGTTCCAGAAAAACAAACACGCTTCGCACTCAAACACAAGAACTTGGAGGTGCTTTTTTGTAGCATCTTCACAAACCTGTCGTTGCCATATACTGAGGGAACCAGACTGCTCGGACCTCCGCTCTGCAATTCGAGCAAGAGATGGAATCCAAGCCCTGGCCAGCTTGGAGGCTATTCAAAAGCTTGTTCACTGTGATGGAAGACTTGGCTGTCCCTGCAACACCAGGCAGGAATACACAAGCATGGATGCAAGCGTCTCAGATGTCATCGATCCTGCTTCCTTCCCAAGCAGCTGATTGTGCTAAACAGAAAGCGGACATTCACAATGAAGGTGGGAAGCATGAAATCTGCTATATGAGCACGCCTGAAGCGCGCGCAATCTGAGAAGGAACTTCCGCAGTCCACCACCTTCGCTGAAGGGCCTCAATGTGACAATTTCCTGAAGGCCCTCTCTCATCCTAAAACTCTTCTAAGGCTGTGACTTCTGGTTGGCATTGGCCCCGTAGTCCAGTTTGCTTCTCTTCAGTTGCTTGCCCTCCTTGCCCTTGCCCTTGCCCTTGTCCTTCTTGTGGCAGCCCATGGACAACTGGCTGAGCTCCTGGCAGACTTGGCCGAATTATTATGAGAACAAATAACAGAAAGCTGTGGGCATATCAACAATTTGCGAATGCTGTTTGGGTCTGACAATTTCGAAAGGTGAGGGAAATCTCATCGCTCTGCAAGCCTAGAGTCCTGCTCCGGCTAAAAAGAAACAGAAAAGGCAAGGGAAGAAAAGGGATAAACACTTGTCAACCAGCCCGCAAGCTGCATCCGTTTCCTAACCTATTAAAATTGCAAAGCAGCGTCCTGCAACTCCAAACAGTAAGCTTCCCAAGCATAAGTTTTGTCAGCACAAAGAAAACTATTGGACATACACCACATCGAGTTGCAAAGTCAAAAATTGCTTGATGTCAGAGTTGACATCTGTAGCTCATATGTCTTTGGTTCTTTCTTTGGCTTGAACTCTGCCAGCCTTTTGCTAGTCATCAAACTGAAATCTGTCCAACAAGTTTTCAATCAAACATACTCACATGTCCTCCATGTGAGGTAGCAAAGAGTGGGCGACGCCTTCACAAAAGCGTGATTGGACCTGGAGGAAAGGTGGCAATTTGTGCTAGATTTGCTCAAAGGCTGAACTGGCTGGTCGAAATGCAGTACCCTTTACAGGTCTTTTGGTCTTGACCCACACCCCGACTGGCCTCTGGTTCAAGCCCTTGCAAAGCCTTCAT